TGCCAGAATTTGATGGGGAGGGAGGGATGAATGGGCAGAGGGTGGGAGATTTTTGGGGCCGTGAAACTATTCTGTATGACATTATAATGGTGGTTACATACCATAGTATATTTGTCAAAGCCCATAGACTGTACAACATGAAGAGTAAAACCTAATCTCATTATTGGCTCATCCACTGTAACAAATGCACTACACTAATATACCATGTGATTAATAGGGGAGATTTACTGGAGGGAGAGGCCTATATGGGAAGTCTCTGTACTTTCCCATCAATTTTTCTGTAAACCTGAAACTTCTCTAAAAAACGTTTTCTGAAAACCCATGTTCAAAGAACGCAAGTGACCCTGTGTCTAATATGCTCACCATATACCTCACTTCTGATCTGCCTTCCCGTATCTCTCTCCCCTTAAGAACTCTCACTCTTAGTCAAGGAGGGAGTGGCGGAGAACAGAAGTGGATGTTGAGTGTGACATCAGGCAAAACAAGTTGTTCTAGATCCTGGCTTGCTTTCCCCTTCGCTCAAACATTCATTCTACAGACATCGAGCTTCTATTTTGGGCTAACCTCTCTGCTGGGCACACAGGCTATAACTGGCAACAAGTTACAATCCCTTCCCAAGAAGCATTCGGGAGGAAAGGGAGAAACTGACAAGTAAACGGTCGTTGACAGTTCACTATGCCAAGTGTCATGTGGGTAAATTCAGAGGACGATGAGAATGCAGAGAAGTATCTAACCCAGCCCAGGTTCTGGTCAAGTAAGATTTCCTGGAGGATGTGACATTGCAGTCAAGCCCCCAAAACTATGAGCAGCAGTTCAGAGGCAATGGGAGGCCGGGCACCGTGGCTCACACCTGTAATTCCAGCACTTTGGGAGGCAAAGGCGGGTAGATCACTTGAGGTCTGCAGTTTGAGACCAGTCTGGGCAACATGGCCAAACCCGTCTCCACTAAAAATACAAAAAACAATTATCCGGGCATGGTGGTGGTGGGCAACTGTAATCCCAGCTACTCGGGAGGCTGAAGCAGGAGAATCACTTGAACCCAGGAGGCGAAAGTTGCAGCGAGCTTAGATGGCGCCACTGCACACCAGCCTCGGCGACGGAGTGAGACTTTGTCTTAAAACAAAACAAACAAACAAAAAAGAGCCAATGGGAAACCTCCTGGACTTGATCAGAGGTTCGGAAGCAAAAAAGATAACAGCCCATGGGGAAGCTGCAAGCAGGTCATTACGGAATATAAATAAAGTGCACATGCATGTGTGTGGGGGCGAGGGGTGGATGACAGAGGGGAGAAATGGGCTGGAGGGACAGGTAGAACCAGGTCAGACCTGAGCCTTGATGTTCTCAGAAACAATGCTTAGGCAGCCCAGACAGACCTGGTAATGCCAGCTCCCTGGAGTCTGTGCCTAAGGCAGAGGACCCATCCTGGGGGAGACTCCCCAAGTCTCTTTTGAACACACTTGGTAGAAGAAGCTATCCTATAATTACTGTGTTGATAATTAGAGGCACCTCCATAGCCTCTTTCTTTCTTTTTGTTTTTTTGAGACGGAGTCTCGCTCAGTTGCCCAGGCTGCAGTGCAATGGCATAATCTTGGCCCACTGCAACCTCCGCCTCCCAGGTTCAAGCGATTCTCCTGCCTCAGCCTCCCGAGCAACTGGGATTACAGGCATGTGCCACTACCACTCGGCTAATTTTTGTATTTTTAGTAGGGACGGGTTTCTCCATGTTGGCCAGGCTGGTCTTGAACTCCCGACCTAAGGTGATCTGGCCGCCTAGGCCTCCCAAAGTGCTGGGATTACAGGTGTGAGCCACCGCACCAAGCCTCCATGGCTTCTTTTAACAAACACTGCACACGTTGTAGCGCTCTCACCTGCAGTGGGGTGCAGAGAGACAAAGCACCCCTCCTGGGGGGAGCCTAATGCCTGAGTCTCTTGCCAAGCACACCTGCCTAGCTGAGGCCCAGAGGTGCCACAGATACACCTGGGGCTGCTTCAGCTTGGAGCTGAGTGCTGCTGGCAGGGAGACTAAAAGTCACTCCCAGTCTGGCGCAGTGGCTCATGCCTATAGTCCTAGCACTTTGGGAGACCGACGCAGGCGGATTGCCTGAGCTCAGGAGTTTGAGACCAGCCTGGCCAACATGGTGAAACCCCGTCTGTACTAAAAATACAAAAAGTAGCTGGGCATGGTGATGGGTGCCTATAATCCCAGCTACTTGGGAGGCTGAGGCAGTAGAATGGCTTGAACCCGGGAGGTGGAGGTTTCAGTGAGCTGAGATTACGCCACTGCATTCCAACCCATATGACAGAGCAAGCCTCTGTCTCAAAATAAAATACAAATTAAAAAAAATTAAAAAGTCTCTCCCCAGATGCCATAGTCTGGGCAGCTCACAGCCAAGCCACAGGCTTCGATTTATTCCAACCTTGCCCTCTGCGGTGACTTCAAACCTGTAGAGATGTTGGCTAGGATCTGGAGGTGCCGTCTACTAAGGCAACCTTAGCCTGA